CTACTAAAAATACGAAAATTAGTAGAAACGCTGTCTCTACTAAAAATACAAAAAATATGAGCGATGCTCTCAAAACCTTTTTTTAATATCTAGGTGCTTTTATAGGAAGAACAACTCTCCTATCAATTGCAGTTGGTAAGATAACCTTTCTGAGGTTTCTTACGTGATGATGATGCTCAATTTCTATTAAGTGCATGAACTTGGTTTGTAACATCTAAATGCTTTAGAAAGTAGCTGTCATTTCCGTTGGGTGGGGTTGTTCTGGATCTGATCTGCTCCCCTTCATTATTTAAAACAGAGATTGTGGTCGGGCGCGGAGACTCAGGCCTGTCATTCCAGCACTTTGGGAGGCTGAAAGGGGAGAATCGCCTGAGGTCGGGAGTTCGAGCCCAGCCTGGAAAACACGGAGAAACCCCATCTCTACTAAAAATACAAAAATTAGCCTGACGTGGTGGCGGGCACCTGTGTTCTACCTACTCGGGGGACTGAGGCAGGAGAATCGCTTGAACCCAGGAGGTGGAGGTTGCAGTGAGCTGAGATGGCGCCATTGCACTCCAGCCTGGGTGACAGTGCGAGACTCTGCCTCAAAAAATAAATAAATGACACCGAGATTGTTCTGAGCCCCAATATCGGCCCCAAAGTGAGCTCCGGAATGACAGACAGGCGGCCCTCCACCAATACGGTAGGAGGAAGGGCTGTTGCTGCTGCCTTTGGCGAGCAGAAATACCTGACAAGCAGGTCACATCCCCGGGTCCCGCATCGCACATTCCTGGGGTTTCCCTTCCCGCATTCTCCGGGTTCCGTGTCCCAAAGTCCCCGGGTTTCCCGTCCCAGATTCCCCGGGTTTCGTATCCCATGTTTCCGGGACTCCCCTTCCCGCATTCCCCGCGTTCTCCGTTCCACATTCCCGGGTTCCCCGACCCACATGCCCCTGGTACCCTGTCCCACATTCCCCGGGTTCCGCGTCCCACATTCCCGGGGTTCCCCTTCCCGTGTTCCCCGGGTTTTCTGTCCCACGTTCCTGGGGTTCCATGTTCCACATTTCCCGGGTCCCCCTTCCTACATGCCCCGGGTTCCCCGTCCCACATTCCCAGGGTTCCGCGTCCCACATGCCCCGGGTTCCCGTCCCGCATTCCCGGGGCTCCCTGTCCCTCATTCCCCGGGTTCCCCTTCCCGGATTCCCCAGGTTCCCGTCCCACATGCCCCGGGTTCCCCGTCCCACATTCCCCTGTTCCCCGGGATCTCCATCCCATGTTCCACGGGTTCCGCTTCCCACATTCCCCGGGTTCCCCGTCCCTCATTCCCGAGGTTCCCCTTGCCACATTCCCCGGGTTTCCGTCCCACATGCCCCGGGTTCCCCGTCCCACATGCCCCGGGTTCCGCGTCCCACATTCCCGGGGTTCTGTTTTCCACATTCTCGTGGCACAATGGCTAGTGAGGGTCCCCTTCCTGCAGTCCGGGAAGTAAAAACTGCGTGTCTGAAAGATCCTCTGTCTCAGGGCTGATTTTCTTTGCAGCACTGAGTATCTATTTCCAACACTGTCATCTCTCAAATTCATAGGTTAAAGCCTGAACTCCGAGGACCTCAGAGTGTTAGGATGTTTAAAGAGGTAATTTGGGTAAAATGAGGTCATCAATATGGGCTCTAATCTGATATGAATGTTGCTGCACCAGGAGAGGGATTAAGACCCAGACATGCTTCCTGCCTCCCAGATCCTCTAGGGATGGACGGACTTCTCCTTCAGCGTCTGTGTCTCCTGTCTCTTAAAAGGACACGTATCATTGCCTGTAGGGGCCTTCTTATACCGAGAACAAGGTTGGAAGAGTTCATATTATGTGTTCACTTCACTGGAGCATGGGGTGCCTAGGTGTTCGATTGAACGTTACTCTGGGGTATCTGTAAGGGTGGAAGGGAGGATCCTTCCGGCCTCCCCGAGGTCTGGGGGCTCCAGCATCCCTGGGCTTGTGGCCGCAGCACTCCACTCTGTGCCTCTGTCCCCACGTGGCCTTCTCAAGGGTCTGCTATAATGACCTCGTCTTGACTTAATTCCATCTGCAAAGACCCTATTGCTAAATTAGGTCCCAGTCAGAGGTATTTGGAGTTAGGACGCTAGAAATAGAAATTCCATTTGACCCAGCAATCCCATTACTGGGTATATATACAAAGGACTATAAATCATTCTACTATAAGGACACATGCACACGAATATTCACTGCAGCACAGTTTACAATAGCAAAGACCTGGAACCAACCCAAATGCCCATCGATGATAGACTGGACAGGGAAAATGTGGCACATATACACCATGGAATATTATGCAGCCATCAAAAACGATGAGTTCGTGTCCTTTTTAGGGACATGGATGAATCTGGAAACCATCATTCTCAGCAAACTGACACAAGGACAGAAAATCACACAGCGCATGTTCTCACTCATAGGCGGGTGTCGAACAGTGTGAACACATGGATACAGGGAGGGGAGCGTCACACACTGGGGTCTGTTGGGGGGAATAGGGGAGAGACAGTGGGGGGTGGGGAGTTGGGGAGAGATAGCATGGGGAGAAATGCCAGATATAGGTGAAGCGGAGGAAGGCAGCAAATCACACTGCCACGTGTGCACCTATGCAACTGTCCTGCATGTTCTTCACATGTACCCCAAAACCTAAAATGCAATAAAATTATATATAAGTATATATAAAAAATTTTAGTATATACTATTATATATTATATAATCGTTATATAATTCTATGTAATATATATATATATATATCTATATATAGATATATATATATATAGAGAGAGAGAGAGAGAGTGAGTTAATGGCAGCTGGGGGCAGTGGCTCAAACCTGTAATCCCAGCATTTTGGGAGGCCGAGGCGGGTAGATTATTTGAGGTCAGGACTTTGAGGTCAGCGTAGTCCACATGATGAAGCCTCGTCTCTACTAAAAACACAAAATTTAGCCAGGCATCGTGGTGAGTGTCTAATCCCAGCTACTTGGGAGGCTGAGGTGAGAGAATTCCTGGAACCCGGGAGGCGGAGGCTGCAGTGAGCCGAGATGGCGCCATTGCACTCCAGCCTGGGTAATAGAGCAAAACTTCACCTCAAAAAGAAAAAAAAAAAAGAGTGAATGGCATATGAATGAAGCCCTCAAAGCCTTTCTTCAATATCTAGGTGCTTTTATAGGAAGAACAACTCTCCTATCAATTGCAGTTGGTAAGATAACCTTTCTGAGGTTTCTTACGTGATAATGATGCTCGATTTCTATTAAGTGCACGAATCTGCTTCGTAACATCTAAATGCTTTAGAAAGTAGCTGTCATTTCCGTTGGGTGGGTTTGTTCTGGATCTGATCTGCTCCCCTTCATTATTTAAAACAGAGATTGTGGTCATCCCAGCACTTTGGGAGGCGGAAAGGGGAGGATCGCCTGAGGTCGGGAGTTCGAGACCAGCCTGGCTAACACGGAGAGACCCCATCTCTACTAAAAATACAAAATTAGCCGGGCGTGGTGACGGGTGCCTGTAATCCCAGGTACTCGGGAGACTGAGGCAGGAGAATAGCTTGAACCCGGGAGGCGGAGGCTGCAGTGAGCCGAGATGGCGCCATTGCACTCCAGCCTGGGCGACAGTGCGAGACTCTGTCTCAAAAAAAAAAAAAAAAAAAAAAAGACACCGAGATTGTTCTGAGCCCGAATATCAGCCCCAAAGTGAGCTCCGGAATGACAGGCAGGCGGCCCTCCACCAATACGGTAGGAGGAAGGGCTGTTGCTGTTGCCTTTGGCGAGCAGGAATACCCGAAAAGCAGGTCACATGCCCTGGTCCCGCGTCCACATTCTGGGGGTTCCCCTTCCCGCATTCGCCAGGTTCCCCGTCCCAGATTCCCGGAGTTCCCCTTCCCAGGTTCACCAGGTTCCGCGTCCCAAATTCCCCAGTTCCCTGTCCCACATTCCCCGGGTTCTGCATCCCACATTCCCGGGCTTCCGCTCCCACATTTCCGGAGTTCCCCTTCCCGCATTCCCTGGGTTCTCTGTCTCACATTCCCCGGGTCCCGCATCACACATTCCCGGGGTTCCCCTTCCCACATTCACCGGGTTCCCCGTCCCACATTCCCCAGGTTCCCCGTCCCACATGGCCCGGGTTTCGCATCCCAGATTTCCGGGGTTCCGCATCCCACATGCCCTGGGTTCCCTGTCCCACTCCGTGCGTTGCTCAGTGACTGTTGTCTGCAGCACGTGCTGCTGACTGTGCTGAGACCCCTCCTCCCTCCTCCCTCCTCCCTCCTCCCTCCCGCCAGGCCCTCCTGCACAGCAGGCACCACACACATGCCTGGAGCCCCGAGCGGCGGTCACGGAAGACTTGCCCCCCACGCGCCCAGCCCTGCCTCAGGCCTGGGGTTAGGGAATCCAGGCATGGCAGGGCTGTTCTTGCTAGGGGGTCCCAGGTAAATCCTTCAGCATGGAGGCCGAGGCACGAGGTCTACGCGGTCCTGCAGGGAGAGCTGATGGCAAGGATGCATGGAGCATCACACTCTCAGCACCTCTGCCCAGCGGACACAGGGAGCACGGTCCCCAGAGCAACACTGCCCAGCAGACACAGGGAGCACTGTCCCCAGAGCACCACTGTCCAGCAGACACAGGGAGCACTGTCCCCAGAGCACCACTGTCCAGCAGATGCACGGAGCACCACTGCCCAGCAGACACAGGGAGCATTGTCCCCAGAGCACCGCTGTCCAGCAGATGCACGGAGCACCACTGCCCAGCAGACACAGGGAGCACTGTCCCCAGAGCACCGCTGTCCAGCAGATGCATGGAGCACCACTGCCCAGCAGACACAGGGAGCACTGTCCCCAGAGCACCAGTGTCCAGCAGATGCAGGGAGCCCTGTCCCTAGAGCAACCGTGTCCAGCCGATGCAGGCAGCACCACACCCCACAGACACAGGGAACCAGTAACTTTTAACCCCCCTGGGACAGATGCTGTTATGACTATTCACACGGTGCACCCACCTGCTCTGAAGGTCGTCCATGTTCAGCTCAGCAACGTAATGGGTGGCGGAGGAGACAGTGACCACCCTCGCACTGTGGCCAGGGGACCCTGACTCTCTCAGGGTATCCAGGAGAAGGTTGGTCAGCAAGAAGTGCCCCAGGTAGTTCAGGCCGAAATGTTCCTCAAATCCATCTCTGGTTTTCCTCTGAGGGACCATCATCACCCCAGCTACACAAGAGGGAATATCAGAGGGAGTTAGACTGGGGAGACAGTGGAGAAATCTCAATGACGGATTCCCAGGATGCACAAATGCCCCAGGACGTTGGAGGGCGGGGTCTGGAGCTGGCTGCTGTGACTTCCTCCTGAGCCCGTTTCCTGCTTTCTATGTGGTGGGGAACATTCTAGAAGATCACTGAAGTCCCTCCCTGCTTTCCATCTCTGCATCTCTATGCCTTGAGTTTAAAAACAATAGCCACAACAGGGTGCAGGTGCTCACGTCTGTATCCCAGCACTTTCTGAGGTGGGTGGATCACCTGAAGTTGGGAGTTCAAGGCCAGCCTGACCAACATGGACAAACTCCATCTCTACTTTAAAAATACAAAAATTAGCGGGGCATGGTGACATATGCCTGTAATCCCAGCTACTTGGGAGGCTGAGGCAGGAGAATAGCTTGAACCCAGGAGGCGACGGTTGTGGCGAGCTGAGATGACACCATTGCAATCCAGCCTTGGCAACAAGAGCAAAACTCTGTCTCAAAAAAAGGAAAAAAAAAAAAAAGCCACAATGATAATGCAGTAACACACACACAGAGAGAATTTTCCAAGTCACCAAATGGGTTCCCCTGGACAATTAATAATTCTGGGAGGCTGGGTGCGGTGGCTCACACATGTAATCCCAGCCTTTGGGCAAGTGAAGAGGACACATCACTTGAGGTCAGGAGTTTGAGACCAGCCTGGGCAACATAGTGAAACACTTTCTGTACCAAAAATGCAAAAAGTTAGCTGGCTGTGGTGGTGCTTGTCTATAGTCCCAGCTACTCAGGAGGCTGAGGTGAGAGGATTGCTTGGGCCCAAGAGGCAGAGGTTGCCTGAGCTGAGATTGAGCCACTGCACTGCAGCCTGGGCGACAGAGATCCTGTCTCCAGAAATAAAAATGTGGACAAGAATATGGCGGCACCGTTCACAGTAGCAAAGACCTGAAACCAACCCAAATGCCCATCAGTGATAGACTGAATAAAGAAAATGTGGCACACGGACACCATGGAATACTATGAAGCCATGAAAAAGGATGAGTTCATGTCCTTTGCAGAGGCATGGATGATGCTGGAAACCATCATTCTCAGCAAACTGACACAAGAACAGAAAACCAAACACCACATGTTCTCACTCATAAGTGGGAGTCGAACAGTGAGGACACAGGGACATGGGGAGGGAAACATCACACACTGGGGCCTGTCGGGGGGTTGGGGGGCTAGGGGAGGGAGAGCAGGGGGTGGGGGGTTTGGGGGAAGGATAACATTAGGAGAAATACCTAATGTACATGACGGTGGGATGGAGGCAGCAAACCACCATGGCACGTGTAGAACTAGGTATCAAAGCTGCATGATCTGCATATGTACCCCAGAACTTAAAGTATAATAAAAAAATAAAACACATTTGATTAAAAAAAAAGGAATCGCTGCTATGGCACTCCCTCTTCAGAGTGTCCCACAACCAAACTGTTCAGACATCCTCTGGGAAATGCTGACCTCAGTATAAACATGGCCGGTCCTCACCACGGACCACAGGGCAGCCCCGCTGGCCATGATTCTATAAACATAATTACCACCGGAGGTTCTGTGCTTGACAGATTCTATCTCCCAGACACAGAACACCCCACCCCTGTCAGGCAAAGCCTGGCTGAGTGCCTGCCCTGACGTCCTTGCTGTGGGGACATGACCTCAAAGATGACTCATTCTGGAAACACGCATGAACCACGTTGTCTTGTACTGAGAGACCATCGCTTGGATACTAATGCAAATGTGTACACATGTACATGCATAACGTAGCTATGTATACATATGCATGTTATGCACGTATCAGGGATTCTGTATCTGCACAGGTACTGCACATGGAAATGCAGGCACGCATATTCGGACATATGCATATGTATTTGTGAACGTGTTTACATTGCCGTGCACTTGGGTGTATAACTGCATATATGCACGATTCACTGAAAGGTATACACTTAGACGGACGTTTGCATGTACATACGTGTTCACGTCTTTGCATGCACAGATGCATTTTCAAATGCCTATAAATTTGTACTTTTCTTTCATATATATGTAAAAGAAAACATTGTATGCACATGTACCTGACTTTGCATGTATACATATTCATATGTATACACATGTGTATACATGACGTGTATTTGCATATGTTATATGTATATAAGTATGTATTATTTATTTAATTGTGAGGCAGAATTTTGCTCTTGTTACCCAGTCTGGAGTGCAATGGTATGATCTCGGCTCACTGCAACCTCCTCCTTCTCCAGGGTTCAGGTGGTTCTCCTGCCTCAACCTCCTGAGTAGCTGGGATAACAGGTGTGTGCCAGCACGCAGAGCTAACTTTTTGTATTTTCAGTAGAGATAGGTTTCATCATGTTGGCCAAGTTGGTCTCGAACTCCCGACCTCAGGTGATCCACTCGCCTCGGCATCCGAAAGTGCTGGGATGACAGGCGTGAGCCACTGCGCCCGGCCTGTTCTTCCCATCTTTGTGTCCATGAGAGCCTGGTGTGTACTTTCCAGGTATAAGTGAGAACCTGCAGTCATGAATTTCTGTCTGTTCTTTCCATCTTTTTTGTTGTTGTTGAGATGGAGTTTAGCTCTTGTTGCCCAGGCTGGAGTGCAATGGTGCAATCTCAGCTCACTGCAACCTCCTTCTCCCAGGTTCAAGCGATTCTCCTGTCTCAGCCTCCCCAGTAGATGGGATTCCAGGCATGCATCACCACACTCAGCTACTTTTTAGTAGAGACAGGGTTTCTCAGTGTTGGCCAGTGTGGTCTTGAACTCCTGACCCTAAGTGACCCGTCCACCTCAGCCTCCCAAAGAGCTGGGATTACGGGTGTGAGCCACCGTGCCTGGCCATGCACATGTACTTTAAACCACAGTGTCATCGAGATCGTTCTAGTCAGCATGTCCAACTCCAAAGTCTGAATGAAGAAACACTGTGGCCCCGTCTGCGTATGGGACGCATCCCTGTTAGGAGCAAGCACGGAATCTCCGCAGCTCTCTCTGCCAATTGCAAGGTGGGAGATGAAGAATGAATTGTCAATCAGTGATCTGTGCACCTGACGGCATTTTACGGGGGACTGGACACTCATGATGAGAAGCACATGTTGTGCCTCAAGCAGTGAACCCAGGTGAGGCGTGTCTCCAACAGGGGAGGGTAAGGGAGAGTTCTCTGCTGGGAGGAGAAAGGAGAGTGGTAGGGATGAAAGGACAGTGAGAGAAACAGAGACAGACAGAGAGGGAGCGGGGACAGAGAGGGAGGGCAAGGAAGAGAGGGAGACAGAGACAGAGACAAAGAAAGAGATGCACGGGGAACGGGGGGAAATGGAACTCAAAGAGGAGAGGGAGGAAATAGGAAGAAAGAGATAGAAAAAAAGAGGGACAGAGGCAGAGAAAGAGAGGGAGAAAGAGGGGAGAGAGAGAGAAGGAGGGCAAGGGACGGAGGAGGGGAGAGCAGGGAAGAGACACGAGGGGAGGGAGACACAGGAAGAGAGATAGAGAGAAGAGGAAGAATGATAGGGAGGGAAACAAAGGGAGAGAGAAAGAGGGGAGGGAGAGAAGAAGGAAGGAAGGGGGCAGAGGAGGAAGGGAGAGAGAGAGAAGACAGAGAAGAAGGAAGGAAGAGGGAGGGAGGAAAAAGAGAGGGAGAAAGGGAGAGAGAGAGGAGAAAGAGAAGGAGGGAGGGAGAGGAGAGAGGGAGAGAGAGAGAAGACAGAAGAAGGGAGGAAGAGGGAGGGAGGGAGAGGAGGGAGAAAGGGAGAGGGAGAAGACAGAAGGCAGTGAGGGAGGGAGCAGAAGGGAGGCTGACCGAGCAAAACAGACAGAAGAAGGGGGTGAGGGAGGGGGCTTGAGGAGAGACAGACCAACCAAGAGAAAAACCGAAAGGGAGAGGAAAGCTGAGAGAGGGTAGAGGTGGAAGGAGAGAATGACAGAGTGACAGAGAGGAGGAGGAGAGACAGAGTCACAGAGAGAGGCAGAGACTTACAGACACAGAGAAAGAGAGGAGAAAAGCATTTGAGTAACTGAGAAAGCGCTGCTTGTCCACCCGGTCCCTAGAATCTCAGCAGGGCCATGGGAAGGTTGCAGCCAGTCCAGGGACAGAGGCGACAGGACGGGGTCCTGATCATCCACCCTTCCCTGGCAGGGAACAGCCAGGCATGAAACCGCAGCAGGCCACACCCCCTGGTGCCGCCACCACCACCACCACCAGCAGCACTAAAAGAACATCCAAATGCCTTCTGCACAGAAGAGACAGAAGAGGGAGCGGAAGCCGTCACACAAAGAAACCTGCTCTACCCAAAGGCGAGCAACTCTGGGAGAGAAGCAAACAGAAGGTGCTCAGAATAAGTGGTCTACACCTGTGCAGGCGCAAGGACCCGCTGCCGAATGCATGGGCAGTGAGTGATGCAGTCTTCCTGAGATGACAGCAGAGTCTCGTTCACATGGAAGACGCCAGGCGCCTAATAACACAGGAGACACCTGCTCGGCTGTCTGCCATGCAGAAAGTGGGTCTCAGGTAGCACGGGCTCCATTGCACCTCAGTCTTCTGTGGATGCCAACCTGCATGCCTGGGCCTCCCCTGAAATAGACTTCCTGAACTCTCATGGGGCTTCGAGGTGCTCTGTGCCCATTTACTCATCTGAATGAACTCATGAGATTCATTCTTTCATTTGATTTCATTCATCCACTGGCATCATTTGAATTAATTCCCTCCTTTGAATTCATTTCTTCCTTTAAATTCGTTTGTTCACTCATTTGAATTCATTCATTCATTTGAATTCACTCATTCATTTGAATTTATTCAGTCACTCATTTGAATTCATTCGTTCCTTTGAATTCATTCATTCCTTTTTTAATTCATTCCTTTGAATTTTAATTCATTCCTTCAAATTCACTCATTTGCATTCATTCCTTTGTTCTGCCTTTGAATTCCTTCATTCATTCCATTGAATTCAC